TCAATACACTCAATACACTATGTCAGGAACACCACAATAAAATGGTGTTGCAGAAAGGCGAAATCGTACTCTAATGGAAATAATTATGAGTAATATGAGTAATTCTTTTTTAACCTCATCATTATGGATGCATGCTTTAAATACCGCTGCATATTTGTTAAACAGGATTCTTAGTAAGGCATTTCTAAAAATTCATTTTGAACTGTGGACGAGAAGGAACATAGTTTAAGGCACCTGCGTGTTTGGGGTTGCCCAACAAAAATGAGGTTATATAATCAACATGAAGAGAAATTGAACTCAAGAACAATCAGTGGTTTCTTCATTGGTTATCGAAAAAAATCTAAAGAGTATAGATTTTATTGTCCTAACCACAATACAAGAATTATTAAAGCTGAAAATGTCAAGTTCATTAAAAATAGTGAAGTTAGTGGGAGTTTGGAACCACATAAAGTGGAGATCTAAGAAATTAGGGTTAAAGTTTCTTTACCCAAAATTTATTCTTAAGTTGTTATTCTTACAGTTGTTGAACAGTTTGATACCTTACAAGAACAACAAATATATGATCAAATACCCCACAATGAAACTGTCACTAATGAACCTACATTAGATGAACCACATGAAGTAGTACCTAAAAAATCTCAACGACAAAAACGGTCTGCTATTTTCAATGATTATGTGGTTTATCTACACGAATATGAATTTAAATTATGAGTAAATGAAGATCCGTTTCATTTTCACAAGTCATAAAAAGTGCTAATTCTTCTAAATAGTTAGATGCAATGAAAGATGAGTTGAAATCGATGGAACACAACAAAGTCTGGATGTGTTGAATCGTCTGAAGGTTGTAAAAGAGTCGGGTGTAAATGGGTCTTTAAGACGAAACATGACTCGATTGACAATATTGAACGATATAAAGTCAGACTTGTTGTCAAAATGTTTCACTCAGAAAGATGACATCGACTATAAAGAAACATTTTCTCCAGTTTCTAAGAAAGATTCATTTAGAATTATCATGACATTAGTAGCTTATTATGATTTAGAGTTACACCAAATGGATGTGAAAACTGCCTTTCTAAATGGGAATTTAGATGAAGAGGTCTACACGAGTCAACTTGAAGAATTTTTTGTTGAAGGAAAGGTACACATGGTGTGTAAATTTAAAAAAATCAATATACGGACTTAAACAAGCTTCCCAACAACGGTATCTTAAGTTCAATGATACCATTACATCTTTTGGATTTGAAGAAAATTCTTGATCGGTGTATATATCTAAAGGTCGGTGGGAGCAAAATCATATTTCTCATTCTGTATGTTGATGACATATTGCTGCTACTAATGACCTTAGCTTATTTAAGAAAAGGAAGAAGTTCAGAAACATAGGGTCTCAATTGAATATATTAGTACTAATCTCATGATTGCAGATCCTTTGACGAATGAGTTGTTATCAAAGACATTTAACAAACATGTCGTGAGAATGAACATTAATTATCAAAGACATTTAACAAACATGTCGTGAGAATGAGCATTAATAAAACCCTTTATTAGCTTTATGTTCTTTGTATTTTGACACTTTAAACTCAATTTTTCTTGTTTCTGATATTTATAAATCTTATTTTTAATCGTTAGTGTACACTTTATGTTGCATGATGCTCAACAAGATTTTTTTTAATAGACATTATGGGACCATGATGATGATTCTCGTTAAGCTAAGTATGCAATTGATATTGTGATACATGGAAGGGATCGTGTCCATAAATTGATGAACAACTGCTATGATTCATATTAATTTCATACTTATTAAATAATTTATAATTTAGCCAATATAAGAAAGGATTTATCTTACATTTTGTGCGGTATGATATGCACTATTAAAATTAGGTGAGCCAAACAAGAGAATGTTAAATTTGAATTTATGGTTCACATTTATTTTAATAACTTATTTGATTTATTTTGATAACTTAAGTTATTTATTTTCTTAACTCATAATTTATGACAACTTATGATATTTATTTTTATACCTCATGATAACTTAAGTTATTTATTTTCTTATTTATTTTCTTAACTCGTTATTTATTTTCTTAACTAATAACTTATGTCATAACATATGATATTTATTTTTGTAACTCATGATAACTTAAGTTATTAATTATCTTAACTCATAACTCATGTCATAACTTATGATAACTCATGATATTAATTTTGTAACTCATGTAATCCCTAAAATGAATAGGGGTTACTAATTTATGTCATTGATTTTAATAATAAAAATCAATTAATTTATTAAATTATCATAAATCCTATTGGTTAGTAACCCCATTGATGGATGGTGGTTAAATAGAGCATAATTCAAAGAATATGTCATCTCTCTTCCTAATACACTCTATATATTTCTCTCAATCAGAAAGTACAGAAAGTTTCAAGGGATTAGAGAGAGAAAAGAGAGAGAAACTCACTCTTCAAGATCAAATTTTATTATCATGAATACATGTATATGTTACTTTATTATAGATATGTAAAAATCATGAATTTAAAAAACTTGGCTATTACGTATTTTTAGAATTTGTGTCATAAATGTTAAAGATAAATTTCTAGCAGCTACAACCCCATGTCATAAAAACAAACATCAACACAACATATACGAGAGGCGATGCTGGTCTGACCACGATCTACTCTAAACACAACTATAGTGGTGTCAAACCCAACATTAGTGTCGTGTTACTTAACAAGGATGCCTTGATTTACGTTGCATCAAAAATGGATACCAACAAGCTTCATGATTATTGGCCTTTGATATGGATCGTTAGATTGCCTTGAGATTTGTGTAGGTCATTTTTAGGCTAACACAACGTAAAATAAATAGAAAGCAAGAATAAGGTATTGTATTTGAAATTCTTTGGGGTTTTGTTTAATAGAAAATAAATGGGTGACTTTATTTTGCTTATTTGATGTAAGATGAAAACAATATATTTCATAGTAAATATTATTATGTTGAGCGCAGGACGACACAAGGCGGTGACAAGCAGGGGGTTGTGGTCAGCATTTTATATTAGGTCGTGTGTTTTGAAATTAGCCAAATTGTCTGAATACCAAATACAAGAAAAATGAACTAAGAGCCAAAATTTGAATAAAATGTCATTTTTACATTGAATTGCAATTACTTCCAAAATTTTGCATTAGAAATGCAATACACCGATGAAGTCGCTGACCAAACATCCAATGCGTGGTCACACTACCTGAAAAATCATATAGAGTTAATGAATTTTAATTTATTTGTTAAAGTCTTAAAAAGGAATAATTATTTTTAATATCATAAATTTGAACCATATAACTTATAATTTATCATTCTTTATTAAGAAAATTGATTAAGCCAACTCAAATAAAAGTTTTAGCATTTTTTAAATTAAATTGTAATTATTCTGACCAAATTTTCGTATTAAGAACGTAGACTTTGAGCAACATTTTATGCCTAATTATTTTGAGGCTATGTATGTTTTTTGAAACAAATTTGGCACAAAATTCATGTGTATGTATATACACAACATCTAAACTTCATTTTTTATGGTTATACAACTAAAAATTTTAAATTCACATAAAAATATTCTTATTTCAGTTTTTTTAAATACACCTTTTCACATTATACGATAAAAAATGTGTCAGCGCTTATCCTGAAAAGATCCAACTGTCAATTTAAATTCACATAAAAATATTCTTATTTCAGTTTTCTTAAATACACCTTTTCACTAAGAGATAAAACATGACTCGTGGGTCCACCGACATATGACAAAGAGGCCAAATTATCAGGTTCGATGTAGTCATCTGAGTCAAGGTTGATGGCTGATCGAGCTAGGGGAAGGAAAAAGAAAATGATCTGAGTCCAAACCAATCTAACTAAAACAAGACAAATAAGCATATAAGCTAACCAATACAAAAAAAACCGAGTAAAGGCATCGACCTACCTTTTGATAGATACGACTCTAGTAAAGAATCCAATTCTTCATTATTACTAATAGTCCCAACGACGCCCTAAGGCTCCTCATTAGGAACCAAGAATTGACAAGACAATATAGCCCTATAATCATTCCACTTAAAACCTTCGTCTAGGAACGAGCTACGATGATTTGCTCCATACACGATAGCCTAGTTTGTTAATTCTACCGACATAAACTACTCATCCAAGGATTGAGGATCAACGACAAAACTAGATCAAATGATCGTCAAAGTCTAGTCGATAGAGTCATTCATGTCGACTTGAAGTTAATCAAGCTTAGCCAGCCAGTAGCACCGCTCAACCTACCCGACTGGATTGGCCTCACCGAGCCGAAGTCTTGTTAGCCAAGCTGATCGAGCCAAATAGCACCCATACCATAAACTCATATATAAAAAAAAAACCCATAACAACTCGTGTAACTTCAATTAAAATAGGGGCAAAAATGTAATCTCACTGTGTACTACCTTCGTCCTTATAAACAAAGAGATTATTTTATAAATAAAAGGTTAGAGAAGCTGTTTTAATGTTCACCATTGTTCCTTTTCTCTCACGCTCTCTTTCTGATGCTATATTTCTTGTGTGTGATTCACGAACAAATCAAAATTAAACATAAATATAGATAAAATAACATTTGAAGTTCATGGAATAGATATGTAAATAAATAGGAAGTAGGTGACATTTATGTAAATCTTTCTAAACTTAGAAGAAGAAAAAATTAAGCTTACTTGGACATTTATGTAAATCTTTCTAAACTTAGAAGAAGATTACTTAATATAAAATAAGAAAAAAATTAAGCCGGTCTTAATGGTAATATATGTTGAATTTCTCACAATAATTAATATTATTTACAAATTAAAATTGCTGACAAGCGACAGTAAACTGAATGAAGAGGTTCAAAACGGAATTCGCAAAAATAAAGGGAAAGCTAACGGATCGATTTTTTATTCTCACGCTCATTCTCCAAAGCTTATATAGTTGTATAAACAAGATGACAAACGTCATTAGAAATCCGGAGTGACGATATACAACTAGGTTAATCCCTACGCGGCGGTCCTATAAAATTCCTGTGCGGGCGCCACCATCCCCGTCCACTCTGGTCACTGAGTAGTTGCCATCTCCCAGCCTCCTCCCTTCCTCTCTCCTCTCTCTCTCTCTCTGTCTCTCTCTCTCTTATGCTTCATGTGAAGCCCCGGCAAAGAGAGCGAAAGAGAGATAAGGTCAGTGTCTGCTCATGGCAAAGTGGTTTTCAGAATTTATTATGTTCAGGTGGCGGTTTACCTTGCTCATCTTCCTCTCTCCTCCCCGCCACACAAAAGAGGTCCAGATTCCTGCCATGGATTATGCTAGGTTCTTAAAGCCGGGTTTCATGGCAAAGTTCTAAGCTTTCCCCTGAACAATTCACAGTAAGGTTTTTTTCTGTTCCCCCTCTTCTTCCTTTTGATTGCCCTGTCTGAATCCTTGAACTTTTTTGTACTTTTGGCAAGGTTTTGGAATGGGGTTGAATCGGATTTTTGTTATGGTTTGAGAAGTTTGTAGGTTGGAATGAGAGGGACACCATGAATGCTACAAAACCTGGAAATTTGGTATCTCGCACCTGTTTCAAGCCGAGAAAGTTGGGTCTTTTAGGTTTTGAATATGACCAGGGCCATCCGCCATGGATTTGTGAAGGATGACTCTGGTTCTGTTGGCGCTTTACACGCAGAGGATCATGAAACCATAAGTCAGCATCTTCGGAATCACGTTCACCTCACAAACTGCATCCATCTCAAGAACCATATGCATCGCCATAGCCCAATTCAGGCGGAGAGGTCTCTCATGAGGGACCTTGTTGTTCTTCAGAGGTCAAAGTCTCTCCGAGACCCCTCCACCAGTCCTCCACCCTTTCTTTCCCCTTTTGTTATCGCCACATTGGTGAAGAGATCAGGAAAGGATGCCGGAGTTCAGAATGGGAGAAGGTCTATTGGTGTTGATGTGGTTGGGGAGGTCAATCGGTTATCTGTCAATCATCCAAAGGCTGCTGTTTTGTCCTCCTACAATGTTACTGCAGTAGGAACAAGTGGTGATCACAGTGCTGGCAAGGAATGCAGGGATGAAGAATTGAGAAAGGGAGAAGATGGCAGCAGATTTAAGCAAGGAGAGAAGGCATCTCATTCTAACCTTGTGAATAATCCTAGACTCAAGACGCTCTCGGAGCAATTGGAAGAAATCCCCAGTCAGAGCGATAATGAGATCAGGAAACCTCCACTCCAGTCCCAGCACAGAGGCCGACGGGGAGGTGGAGACAAAAGAAGTAAAGATTTTAAGACAAGTGGGTTTAGTAGAACGAAGAGGAGAAAGTCCAGAGGCTTAAGAAGGACTCATGGTTCAGTAGATTTAAGAGGTGGTAGAGTGCACAATGACATGTCTGTTGCTTCAACATCGCTTGCACATCACAAATGTTTTTTGGGAGAAGAAGAGGAAGATCAGGAGAATGGTGAGGTAGATGTCACTCAAGCTCCAAGCCATGGCTGTGGGATTCCATGGAACTGGTCAAGGATACATCATAGGGGTAAGACATTTTTAGATATTGCAGGGAGAAGCTTGTCTTGTGGGTTGTCTGAGTCAAGTTTGAGGAAAGATGGAGGTTCTGTTCAACAAAGCCTGAAGGAGAAGGATAACTCGAGACTGCCTGTTACATCTCAACTATTGACTTCATCAACTGGATCTGATTCAGAGGCCCTTCCATTCTTATTAGATCCATCTGGATCACCAGAAGGTAATTTAAGTCCCCACGAACTTTGCATTTATGCTAATAATAACTGTCACGAATTAGATTCAGACCTTATATCAGAAGCAAGATCAGGCAATCAACACAGCTCTAGAGGATATTGCAGAAGAAGGCATCAAAATCTTACGCAGAAGTATATGCCCAAAACATTTAAAGATCTTGTGGGACAAAGCTTGGTAGTCCAGGCTCTTTCTAATGCTGTCTTAAGGAGAAAAGTTGGGTTGATTTATGTCTTCTATGGGCCTCATGGGACTGGTAAAACTTCCTGTGCTCATGTTTTTGCTAAAGCTCTGAATTGCCAATCTACTGAACATTCTAAACCATGTGATGTATGTACGTCATGTATGTCACACAATTTGAGGAAGAGTAGAAATTTGGTTGAAGTGGAAGCAGTTAGCACATTTGACACTGGGAGAATTACAGATGCTCTAAATAATGTTATGTTATCCACATCAACATCCCAATACAAAGTTTTCATTGTTGATGTTTGTGATAATTTGCCACCAGATTTTTGGATGGCAATCACAAAGGTTGCTCATCATGCGCCGCGTCACGTGGTTTTTATCCTTATTAGCTCTTCTCTTGATCATTTGCCTCATCAAATCATATCTAGGTGTCAGAAGTTCTATTTTCCAAAAGTCAAGGAGTCAGATATAATTATTACTTTGCAGCAGATATCAACTAATGAGGGCCTAGAAATTGATAAAGATGCATTGAAACTTATTGCTTCACGATCAGATGGATCCTTAAGAGATGCAGAGATGACTCTTGATCAGCTTAGTTTGCTTGGACAAAGAATTTCTCTTCCTCTTGTTCAGGAACTTGTAAGTACTTTATGGATCGTTCATTTTGTCTCTTCTAGCAGACCATTAAGAGTTGTATATCTATTTTTATTTTTTTTGTGATAAATTCTTTGTGAAATTTATTTGACTCAAGCTCATTTGACTAAGAAGTTTCTTAAGATTTTGTTTCTGTTACTTGTGAAATTTGTTGTTACTCAACATGAATCAATAGTAAATTCTTGAACTACGCAGCATAATGAAAATGGTAATTTGCTTTGTTTCTTATGTTGCTCATGATACTACTGTATGAAAGTTTCTGTATCCTTGTTTACAATATATCATAACGAAACTTGTGCACTACCATTCTTCTACTACAACATCTTCCTCGTACCCTTGCCTAACAAAGGAGATAATGAGAGTCGATGGCTTAGAGGAAATTAGAAAAAATTGAATGGTCAATTATTATTCAATAAATCAATATAGCTTGAAGTGTCCTTACTAATAATGATGATTTTAGGGGTTCAAGCAACAAATACACATAAAAAAGGAAGAAAATATACCCTAACAAAAAATATGATAGGAAATATACCTATTTAAAAAAATCTAAATGCTCTTTAAATACCAAATGCTATATAAAGCAAGGGAATATTTAGGTTTTGTTTGGGGCAGCGATGCGGTGACAGTGCGGTGCCGCACTATAGTTTTTTTTGTTTGACAAAACTGTATTTTGTCTGTTTTTCAAAAGTTGTAATTAAAAGCTGTGTTTTGCCACCATACTTGACTAAAGTGTGGTGGCTGCTACAAAGTTGCGGTCTGATTTTAATTTTTTTTTTTTTCATAATTGACACCATAGTTTTTTGAATTGCTTCTTTTGAAGCAACTTCATAACTGCTTCTTCAAATGGTTGGAGTTGCCCCCAAAAAGATCCTTAATTAATTATGATTTCAATGTCAAACATAAGTTTGGAGTAGATTGCCAGCTTGTCTAATATGTGAAGAATTCTCTTTTAGATGCAATCTTCTAAAAAATAAGAGCGAATGCGCTGAAAATTGTTATGAGTCACCTATTTCTCATTTTTATGTGTAATTGCATTTCCATCAAATGATATAATATTGTCGGTCTAAAGGGCTCAATATAACCTCATCAAAGAAAGTCCCTTTACTGATTGGGGCTAAGGCTGGTGGAAAAACTTGAGCTTATGTTGTTGTAGTATGTATGAACTCCATTCTTAAAGATGCTTGAAACTTTGAAATGTCTCTATATGTCATTATGCCCTTAATATTAAAAGTGAGACTGATATCTATATGAACATGAAGATCAATGATATGTTCATTTGATCTAAACTTTCTTGGTATTTTATAGGGGTTTGAGGTTTAGACATGTAGTTTCTTAAATTTGTAAAATAGGAAGTGTGAATAGCAATTAGCACTTTAAAACTCTCATTATATTCTCATAGTTTCCTACGATCTTCATCATTATATTATGATATTTTAAATTTCAAATAAATTTATGCTTTTATATCATAATGAAATTTATGCCCATGATCAATAAATAACACAACATAATCTAATTATTCATGCACTTGTATGGCTTGAGATTTATAAGATTTTTAGGCATACAACCTATGCATCACTTCGAAGGGTCTTTCTAGTATTACCGTCGATAAAGCTATTGTATGTAAATTTAGCCTCGAGTAATAATGATTGGCAAAATTTTAAAATTTTGCCAATAATAGCTTTGTATCAAAATATTTTTTAGGATAAAAAGAAGAAGAAAAATATTTTTATCCTAAAAATATTTTGATTAATTTTTATCAAACTTAACTGATCAATCTTTTATCTTTTTTCGATATGGTGATAGTGGGGAGACTAATTTGGTAAATAATTTGTTTAAAAGACAACTTGGCCACATAGGAGGCATCCACAATCTTAGAATTAGGAATTAAATGTGCCATTTTTTGAAAACCTATCTGTAGCCACTACTATGAAATTATGTCCATGTAAATCTTTGCTAATGTTTGCTGCCATGTATTAGGCATATAAATGGATAATATAGTGCCGAAATTTGCTTAAAAATTTCCCTTTTTGATGAGTTTGACACTAGCTTACTGTTCTAGCGACATTCTTCCTAAGTAAATGCCAACAAAATCTTTCGTCTATCAAACACATGGCCTTCACTCATTCTTCATGACAAACTATTCCTCCATGAAATGCATAGTTTTGATCCTATAATTAAGAATTCATCAAGCATTGTGTAATGTGAAGTCGACAAAATTTGATCTTCTATTACATCAAGATAGATCAGATGAAATCATGGCATATTGTATACTCATATTTTATTTTCTAAAACCTTGAAACTTGTACAATCATAGTGCTAAACAATATAAAAACTCTACATAGGTGTCTTTGGAATGTTGACGGCGGTTTTTATCTGTCCTATTCATGGCATATCAAATATTTTCAAAATATCTTTGTCTAACTGGTTGCTAAGTTGGAAAATGTTCTTTAAAATGTCTCCCTTTTTTGTAATTTTTATAAGAATTGATGTTAAAATTCTTTGTTTTCATAGAAGCTAAATTTGTTTATTTGCATTATCCAGGTTGGTTTAGTTTCAGATGAGAAACTGGTAGACTTGCTTGATGTGGCATTATCGGCAAACACAGTTGATACTATAAAAAATTTGAGAGAAATCATTGAAGCTGGAGTTGAACCCATCGCACTCATGTCACAACTTGCAACATTGATTACTGATATACTCGCAGGAAGTCATGTATTTACACGAGAAAGACCACGAAGAAAGTTTTTTCACCGCCAAACTAGTGAGTCGATCCAACCATGGTGTGAAGTAATGATAGAAGAATGATAGTGAGTCGATCCAACCATGGTGTGAAGTAATGATGGAAGAATGAAAGATTTACATACTTACCACTCAATTTTATGTATTTACTATATAATATCTAAACTTCAAGTTTTACATACATGCCACTTACATATGCATGAAAATGTGTATTTCACTTTGTAAAAATTAAAATGGTGATATTTTTATGTGATATGAAAGATATATGAAAGATTTGGGCGGTTTTATTGTTTAAAGTAAAGGTTAGATATTTGATAGGTAAATACATAGGAATTGGGTGGTATGTATGTAAATGCACCAATAAGAATGTAAAAAAAAACTTTTAAAAATAAACCAACTTAATGAATTGATTCCTTTTTTCAGTAAATAAGGCATCAGGGACATCAAATTCCTCTTACAACCCCTCTATTTAATGGAATTCCTGTTTTGTTCGTTAAAATTCAATTCTTACATATATGCCGCCTAAACTTCAAGTGTTACATGCATGCCACCTTATCTATGCATGATAAGATATATTTCACTCTTTAAATGTTAAAATGATGGTATCTTTTTAGTTATATGAAGGATTTGGGTTGCGTAAATGTAAAAAATGAATTGGTTGGTATATATATGTAAATGTCCCAAGAAAAATTTAAAAAATAGTTCAACTTATTGAATTAACGCCTTGTTTTCAATGCACAAGTCATCAGGGCCACCAATTCCTTTTACAACTCTCTATTTAATGGAATTACTGCTTTGTTCTCTGTCAAACACACTTTATATATTCATATTTTTTTGATTTAATGTCAGTATCAAAGGAAGATATGGAGAAACTACGCCAAGCATTGAGAACTCTCTCCGAAGCTGAAAAAAATTTGCGGCTTTCAAATGACAAATTAACTTGGGTTACGGCCGCTTTGTTACAAATCATTCCGGATCAACAGTACGCACCCAGATCATCTATTGATGCTCATTCGAGCCATACTCCATTACTCATTAACGGTACCGACAAGCAAATAGAAGCGAGGAATGCCATTAATGGTGAAGATGAAGCATGTTATAGTGAAGACGAAATAAAGAGGAACTTAGGAGTTGATAGTCTGAGACATAAAGGACTTAAAAATGCTATGAAAGCTAACATTAAGAGTCCAAATGGGAAGGATGACTCCATTAGAGAAAATTTGAGCTCTAATTTTGGAAGAAGATGGAGAGATTATGGAAAAATATGGGAAGAAGTTATTGAAAATGTTCAATCTGATGCGCTTAAACAGTTTCTATGTCAGGAAGGAAGGTTGAATTCGATCCGCACGGGTTCTGGTATGATCTCACTCTCTTTAAACATTTAGGCTCTCTCTTTTAGTTTGAGATAAAATGGCTGCCTTGAATTTTCTTTCTATTCAAAAAAAAAAAAAAAAATTCAAGCTTTCCGTCTATTTTATAGTGGTTCTTTTACAGACATACCACCCAATTAGTATGTTTTCGCATATAAGCTTTGCCTCCCGAATCTTTCATATCAAATTAAAAATATTAACCCAATTAGTATGTTTTCGCATATAAGCTTTGCCTTTTGCATTTATACCACCCGAATCTTTCATATCAAATTAAAAATATTGCCATTTTAACTTTTAAAAAGTAAAATACATCTTTTCATGCATAGATAAGAATGGTGTGTATGTAATAATTAAAGTATAGGTGTTAGATATGTAAATACAGGAACTGAGCGGTATGTATGTAAACATTGCTTATTCTTATGGGGATTATGGAGTCTGAATCTCATTACAATTTTGATAAAAGAAGCTGTTTTTCTTTCAGTTGCAGCTCCTATTATGCAACTGGTGTTTACATCACCTGTGAATTATGGAGTTTAGGTGTTAGATATGTAAATTCATAAGAATTGTGTAGTATGTATGTAAATCTTCCTTATTTTTATGCAATTGTGTGGTATGTATGTAAATCTTCCTTATTTTTATGGGAATTATGGAGTCTGAATCTCATTAAAATTTTGATGAAAAATCTGTTTTTCTTACAACTGCAGCTCCTATCGTGCAACTGGTCTTTATGTCACCTGCGAGCAAATCCAAAGCTGAAAAATTTAGAGGACAAATTTTGCAAGCACTTGAGTTCGTTTTTCGTACCAGTGTGATACTTGAAATCAGATGCTACCCTCGGATAGATGCAAGACAAGGTGCTCGAGTTTTTGATGATTTGGACGAACCCAATAATATTTCTTCGAGAATGACCGCTATTCAACACTCCATATCTAATCATAACTCTCACTCTCCACAGTCCGAAAGCCTTCTGAGGCGGATGCCTCACGAAAATGCCCAAAGAGGAAGCGGTTCTCGCCTTGCCGACGAACTACAATTTGATTATCTTGCCATGGAAAGAGGTACAATAATCAAGCTGTTCACATCTCAAAAACATTGTTGAATGATTTTTTCGAACTAACGAATATCATTGCAGATCGGAAGGGTAAAGGGCCAGAATGTGTGAAGGCCGGAGTGGGATCTTCTTCACAAAAACACGAAGACAGTGCTAATTTATGTGGAAGAATGGGTTATGAGGAGCGAAATCATAGTAAAAGCTTGGTCAAAGGTAAAGTTTCACTTGCTCATGTGATTCAACAAGCAGAAGGTTGTGCAAACCATGGTGGTTGGTCGAAGCAAAGAGCGATTTCCATTGCTGAGAAACTTGAACAAGAAAATATGTGAGTTCTTCGTAACCATGCATTGAAATTTTAATTTTAACAAACTTAAAATAAAACAAAAAGCTCTTCCAACAGATTAAAATCTCATTTTAATGTAATCTTGGCTTATGACAACTATGAAAAATCATTAATTTTTTTCTTTTGCATGATGTTGCATTGGATTTGTAGCTATTACTTAACCAAATTAAATGCACTTAAATTGGTAATTATTTAAAAATATCGCAAGTTTAGGACTCCGTAATTCCTTCTACATCGGATTTCTCCCTCATATGTAACAAAAATGATTAAGTTTCTTTATTTAATCCTTCTACATCGGATTTCTCCCTCATATGTAACAAAGATGATTAAGTTTCTTTATTTATTTATCTATCTACTCTTATGTATTAAGTATTGTTTTATTGTCAGAGAGTACAATCACAGCGAAGGAAAAGTAATTTATTCCTGTCTTAAACATGGTGCATATTTCAGGGCTGGTTAAACGTTCCCAAACATAAAAAATGCAATTAAAAGAAGGATTTACATACATACCACTCAACTCTTATGCAGTTACATATTTATCACCTAAATTTCAATTTTTACATGCATGCCACCTTACCTTTGTATAAAAAGATGTATTTGACTTCTTAAAAGTTAAACTAGTGGTACAATGAAAGATTTGTGTGGTAGAACTGTAGAAAGTCAAGTTTAGTTGTTAGATATGCAAATGCAAAAAAAATTTGATGGAATGCATGTAATTGAAATAAGTTCTACAGAATAGGTTGCTTGTGGATGACTTCATGGTCATCAAATAATTAGGATTTGATTTTCCTATTACTAATATCCCAATAAATATAAAGAAATAATATACAAAATATTTCTGAGTGTCGGTGTTCGAATATTGTTTCCTCGAAAGTAGAAGCATTAAATTTTCAAATTTTTGTTAAAAAAAAATACCATTAAACTATATCCTTCCATACACTTATGCAAGTCGCCTAGGCCTAGCAATTGAGATCTTTGTCTTCCAACCAAGACATCCTGGATTATAGGTCTTGTATATGTGGTATTCGTGTATTTGGGTGTGCGTGGAAAAAAAAACCTACTGTACACTTGACTTCTCAAGCTTTTAAAGTGTTTGCATTATATTTCACTTGGTAGATGTTTTAAATCATTTTATTTTAAGCAGAGTTAGCCAACAACCGCACATCTAGAAGCATGAAGTTGAGTGATATATGATATTTCAGGAATTTTTAAATGCAAATCTGGAAAGGGATGCCCAACTAAACATGCCAAACATCACTTCTGTTGGAAATTAGAAAACACATAAAAACTTGCTCTGATTATGAAAATTCCAAGAAATATGAGTGATAAAAAACCAAAATGTTGTTTAGATTGTAGTAGACTAGATAAAATCTCAATCACAAATGATAATACATAACTTAAAAAAAAATAGAGAGAAATGCAGGAGAAAACTCACTAGATCCTCATGCCATTAAATGGAGAAAGTTTCATCTTGAAGTTTTCATAATCGGCAGAAAAACTTACATCCAACAATGCACACAAATTTCATGGAAAATCTAAATTTTATTATACCATAGATTGGAACTTTAAATCTCTAAGTTTGAGAGGGAATCTAATTTTGTTAAATTATACACAGAAATTTCACATGTTTAAATTTCAGAGGGAATCCAAATGTTATAAACCATTGATTGCAATTCTACTTGTTCTAAAGGTCCTATTTATAATAGAAGACTTAAAACTAGTAGTTTTTTAGAATCCTCATAACTTGGCTAAAATCTGAACTTTCCAACCATAATTCCATTTCCTAAAAAAATCATAATTCCTAAAATACTCAATTCTATAAATAGCTAAATTTGGATCCTTATATTGCACATTGAAGGAACAAAAAGCAGTTTCTGACTTTACCTACATTAGCAGGATATTACACTACAAAAGAATAACAGTTACGCGGACATTTACATAATAACTCAACAACCCAAATCAGTGACTGAAGCTATAGCAGCGTAGTTAACAACTTTTGATGGTAGCTATGGTAAAAAACATAAGACATCATATACAATAACTTCGTAAATGAGTGTTAATTTCTCTAAAATATGATTGCATATCATCGCAATTAATGATTTTGAGCTTCAAGGTTCATTGTTTACTTTTGTGATTTGAGATTTGGAAGGCTTTTAATCTTTTGCATCTTGTTGTATAGTTTGTGATATGCACGACTTAAAAAAAAATTGGCCGCAACGAATTGTTTAGTTGATCTTTTGTCAAATAGATCTAGACATAACTATTGCACTTCAAAATAATCCGTGAGTTGTCACAAGTTTTTTCATTAAATACATTGAAGAACGAAGAAATATTAGATTTCTTAAAATTTCTAATTCATAAGCATTTTTTTTAATGGCATAGTATGATTTTATGTAGTCTGTCTTTCTAATATTTTATTTCTTAAAGTTCCCTGTAGGAAAACTTTCTGGATATATATAGACTTATGATTTCTATAATTAATGGCCAATTCTTCGCCAAAATGCAAAATTGCATAAATCACTATAATGTTACGAGGCAGAAAATGAAAAATGCTAAAATAGTACTATGATTTGCAAGGTATGTTAATGATGACATATAACCAACTCCTAAAAAATGGGAAAAATTAAAAACAATCATTGAGTAATAAAATATTATATCTATATGGATGGATAATCTTTTTAAAGAAAACTAACTTAAAAGCCTTATAGATCAGCTTTGATAAAGTATGTACTTATATGTTTGACCAAATAAATGGCGCAGTAAATTTTTTGTTATTTTAAAATGATTATCATTAACATGTTGTTTAAAATATTATCGTAAATTGTCTTCCTTTATGATTCTATTTTTATGAATTGAGAGTCAGAAAACTAAAATTTACAAATAAAATTAATTTTTGTTTGATTATTAGAGATAATTTTATTGGAAACTTTATCAATTGGTAAGTTAACTTGTCCAGTTAATTCATCAACTACAGTTGACATGATTTATTTTACTTTTGCATTCACCCCGAGCTTCAAAGTTTGTTATAAGTTCATGTTTAGATAGAAAAGTCAACCCTCTCCTTTTCTTCTTTCATCAAGCTTATAAGAAATGCAAAATGGAGGAAGTTTTCAGAGGTTGCCTTGATAGCAAATTTTATGAACTTTTTGAGATTTTTAAAATAGTTGATATGGTAATGATACAAGAGTATCAATGAAAAAATTTTAAGGTATTTTTTTTCACATATATCTTTTACTATTCTTCTTCTGTTTGTTTTTCATAACGCCATCTATTATTGTTAATTCATTTATATTCACTTAGTTATATGGCATGAAATCATGCAGAAGAAAAGTAATTCATAGAATTACAAACCTAGCTTTCATGGCATGAAATTAAACTATTAGATGTAAATATTAAGATGGAGGTCATAAGCTACCCGTCAGTTACCCATTTAAAAACTATTAGATGTAAATATTAAGATGGAGGTCATAAGCTACCCGTCAGTTACCCATTTAAGCATGTTGGTTTAGTATAATAATTCACTTTTCGTGTAATTCTAAAGTTTGTGATAAGGTAGTGAAATGTAAAAGTAGCTTTGTTCTACATATTGCATGGATATATTTCCATTTCTGTGATTATTTTCTTATGATTTTAAATTCGAGAACTAGATGGTAACACAGTAGAATGCTGGCTATCACAGACAGCAGAGCCATTTGGGGCACAAATGGAATGTTTAGCATATCATAGATTAATTTATAGCACTTCATAATGATTGTAAAATACAGCTTATAATTTCAGTTTTGTTTTCATATTATAGGTGGCCTCAAAATAATTAAATTGCATAGTTTCTAAAAATGATAGCTCACTTAAATTGGTAAGATAATAGGAGTTATAGTCTTTTTAAACTCCTTGAAATAAATTTACAGTTTATTTAAGCAAAGTGTCAAGTAATGATAACTCATAGGCATTATTTTTTTGTTGTTCTTGAAATGTTTTACATTGTTTTGTTTAAAATATTTCAACGTATTATTTGTGTTCATAAGATAATATTGATTTTACAGGAGATTAGAATCTCGATCAAGAAGTTTGCTATGCTGGAAAGTTCCAAGAGTCGCTCGATCAAAGGTAATTTATTACCATTTTATGCTTTACTTTAACCAAGAAACATGAAAAATTCTCTTAAGCATGAAATCATTGTGCTTTGTCAATCAATGGATGGCTAAAAAGCAATATATGCCCTCAATTCAACAACACTTAGATTTTCATTTTGAAAACTTGGAGATCTCCTTTGTGCTAACCGAATAAAGAATACAAAATTAGAGTTTGTGCAAAAAAAATTAAAAAGGTAAAGAAAACATTACAAAGAAATGAAAGATAAGTGCAGTTCGAAAATGTTTTGGAGGGTTGTCTCAAAAGTTTAAAGCGCTCTTTTTTCTTAAGATTTGATTCATTGCAAAATTAGGTTTTTACTGAAACAGATCCAATTTTTTATCATCCTTAATAGTAATTGAAAAGTATATGATATTCTTTTTATTTTAATGTTTAGAGCTGAGAGTTTCATGAAGCAATAAATGTCTATAGTATTGTTTTTGCTTAAAAAAAAATCCATGAAGTGAAACTAGAGGTGAGGGGAATAAAAATAGAAAAGACACATCCAATTGCAAAATGAGTATCAACATTTGAAAAATATGCAAGAATCATTATTTGTGAGGAGGGAAGCATAAAAATTCTATAGCCTAAATGAAAAGATTTAGTAGGAATCCTTTCCGAAATAGCAATACGGACAAACTAACTATTTTAATGGGTAAAAGCTTGCAGATTTGAGAATGCGGAGCTAGAATATCATCATGTATTAAGAAAGTATGTAAATAATTGATTTAGAGGTCTTCGGGAGAGAGCTACCACTCGAATGAGTTATTCCTCGAATTCAACCTAAATTGGTCCAAGATTTGAAATATCATTAACTTTTAAAACGGAGCGAACCCTTTCGGTGAAGAGGCCATTTAAAAGAGGAGAAAAGAGACTTCGCTAAAAAATGAAGATTCCAACTAATCTTAAAATGATTGGGATAAAGATTTGTTAAAGGCTAATTTGAATACGAATATCTTCTTAAAGTTTGACTTTTGCATCATTATTGATATTCTAAGATATGAAAAAAAAAAAAAAAATAT